TGGTACAAAATTTTACTATATTTACTTTTGTCGATTATCTATTTGGTCATGATCCGAGATTCGAAGACTCAAAATAAAGATTGTGACAACCAAATTCATCTTTGAGTTGGAAGAAGTCAAATTATTATGTTTTTGAAACAAAATTAGAAATAGTATAATATTAATAAGCTTTGAATATATAATTAATGTAGGCATAAGACATTGGGGATACACCCAAAACATTCTCACCCTTACAATTGTGATGTGATATTATATTCAAAGAGGATTCTTTTTATTGTATATTCACATTCAAAAGTAGGAATTACACAACAAAGAGAGTCAATCAGATTCTTTTGAATTATCACAACTTTCTTATAGGAATATACAACAATGACAGGTGCGCATATTTCATCTATTGATTTAACTATCATTTTTTATTATTATTATTATTTATAGAATGTATAATGAAATAAAATTCCCCCGACTCTATTCTTTGCATTGTAAGAGTCTTACGTTGGTTGTGGAGGAGAACGAAACACTCTTTATAAGGGTGTGGAAACATTTTCCTAGCAGATGCGGTTTATAGTCTTGAGGGGAAACCTGAAGGGAAAAGCTCATCTGGCCCGTTACAAATCGTATGAGAGCCCGACACTGGACAATGTGTCAGCGAGGAGGTTGCACCCCAAAGGGTGTAGACACGAGGCGATGTGTTAGTAAAGATGCTGGGCCCTGAAGGGAGTAAGAATGCTGGCCCTGAAGGGGGTGGATTTGGTGGGGTCCCACATCGATTGGTAAAAGGAACAAGTGCTAGTGAGGATGCTGGGCCCCGAAAGGGATGGAATGTGAGATTCCCACCTTGGTTGGGGAGAAGAACGAAACACCCTTAAGGGTGTTTGCTTTTAAAAGCCTTAACAGGAAGCCCGAAAGGAAAAGCTCAAACCATCTACTTTCTTATAAGTTTTTTTTTTTACAAAAGATATCAAACAACTTCACTTTTTCTTGTCGAAACTTCAAGGTTTCGATTAAAAACTCGAAAACTCGATAAAAACCATAATTCACGATGAGAAATTTCACTATGAAATAAATTAGTACAAATTAGAAGGTTACATTTTCAAATCTTTTGTACCAATCAAGAAAATTCTGCCTAAAAGATATTGGTCAATGAAGACGATGAGAAAGCAATGGTCCTA